AAGAATTTGAAGTCATAAAAGGCAAGGACCTACATCCAAGATTATTCTATCCAGCAAAGCTATCATTTAGAATGGAAGGGTAGATACAGTGCTTCCCAGGTAAGGTCAAGTTAAAGGAGTTCATCATCACCAAGCTCTTAAGAAATGTTAAAGGGACTTATCTAAGAAATAGAAAAAGATCAAAAACTATGAATAGTAAAATGACAACAAACTCACAGCTAGCAACAACTGAACCTAAAAATCAAAAACTAAGCAAACAACTAGAAAAGGAACAGAATCACAAAAATGGTGATCATATGGAGGGTTATCATCGGGGAGGGGGAGGAGGAGAATGGGGGGGAAGGTACCCAATCTGCCCTGCCCCCAAAGGTACAGGGAATAAGAAGCTTAATTGTTAGGCATAAAATAGATGGGGGGAGTTTAAGAATAGTATAGGAAATAGAGAAGCCAAAGAACCTATATGTATGACCCATGGACATGAACTAAGTGGGGAGGAATGGTGGAGGGAGGGGGTTTTAGGGTGGAGAAGACATAAAGGGGAGAAAAAAATGGGGACAACTCTAATAGTATAATCAATGAAATAAAAAAGTAATACCCTGGGGAAAAAATCAGATGAAATACCAAATAAAATTTTTATTTTCAACCAATGTTTTTATAAATACTTTAATTATAAGTTTTATAAAATTAAAACATTTTAATTTTAAAATTAAATATGAGGAAAAGATGTGCTGTGTCAGATTTGACTAATTTAATATATCCATTTTCATGAAAATAACTAGCTTTATTAAGTACTTGTTATGTGTCAGACCCTTTTTTGGGCATTTCATTTTATTCAATCATTATACTGACTACTCTCAGCCACATCTCTAGTAGTCATGCATCTTTAATGACTGATTTTATATACATAAAAGCACATAACAAGTGTTGAGGGGGAGAAAGAACCTCTAAGGTAGATACTATTATTATTCCTACTTTACAGTTAGAAAAACAGGGCTAGCGATAGGTCTCCATTTGTAATTACATTAACTAATGTGTGTGTAGCATTTGGAACGATGAGTTCAGAGTTGAACCCAGACAGCCTGGCCCACGGACTGGGGTGTACCTACCAGATTCTGTCACTGCCCTGTACACAAAAGGAGGCCAGGGACCTATTACCCAGGTGGAAAGAGTGTGAGAGATTTCTAAAATCCATTGAAATGAAAACTAGGGGAAAGGATGATGCTATTTATATAAGGCTGACAGTATTTTGGAAGATTTACTCTCAAAATTTTTCATAAAGGAATTTTATAACCATTTATAACCTGTGTAAAAACATCTTTTGGGTTTTTCTCTTTTTTATATTTTATTTATTTATCTTTAGAGAGAGGGTAATAGAGGGAGAAAAATATCAATATGAAAAAGAAACATTGATGGTTGCCCCTCATATATGCCACAACCAGGGATCAGCCTGCAACCCAGGCATATGCCCTGACCAGGAATCAAACCAGCAACCTTTTGGTTTGTGAGATGATGCCCAACCAGCTTTGCTACAGTGGTCAGGGCATCTTTTGGGTTCTTAAGAAAAAGATAAACATGTGTAAAAATGGGGAAAGGACATGAGCAGAAGTGGTTGGCTTTTGGCAAGGCAGAGAGTCAGGCTAAGATGACATGGTTAATTTAAAAGGGTGGGGAAAGTCATTGGATATCATGGAGGAGTGAAGAAGCAGGATGCCTCATTGACTGCCTTCTAGCCAAATCCAGGAAAACATTGCTGGAGACCCTGTTCTTGACCTTCCTCACTGTGAGCGCTCTATAGCTGTGATAGTGTTTAGTAATTTTTACTTTAACAATTTTTTTCAAACAAAGCCTCACCCAGAACCTCAGTACATAAAATGGCTCAGTGTTGAGGCTCTGTAGTTGGACTGGGTTTTTCCATCAGGCTTGTGCCATCTGCATGAAACAAAGCACTTCCAAAGTATAAAGAGAAAAATGGGCAGCTACCCACTGAGGCTGACCAGGAGTGTGAGTTGCTGCTAGAGACAAGCCTCCTTTGTCTTCGTGCTTAGCCATCCTTAGTTGGACAACTGCTTAACCTCTTGCATCATGGGAATATTCTCAGCAGGAAAGAGGGAAGGAGGGAAAGGAGAAGATTTCCCTGTGGCAAATCTTCTTCCCTGTGCCAGTACCCTTCCCCACCTCTAAAATTTTTTTCAGAAGACTCACCAGTAACTTCTGGCTGCATCTTTGAAGACCAGAATTTTTAGCTGTAAGGGAGATTTGTTTTGACTGAGCTGTTGCTATGGAGTACTGAAAATTATTAAGTAAAAAATGAGCTAGGAAGGCAGCCCTTTATTTCCTGACATATCTGTGATCCTCCTCATTCCACCTCCTGGATTCCACAAAGCATACCACCACCATCCTCAGACCTTTTGTCCTCACTGCCTTCTGCTTAGGTCTTCCCAGCTTGCCTCTCTACTTCCGTTCCTTGTAGGCTCTCTTTTCTTTTTCGTGAGCCTCACACTTAGACTTCCATACAGAGGCACTGGGGGGCTCAGCTAGTCACCCACTGGGCAAATTTCACCCTGGGCCATCTTCACCCTGGACCACTTCTAATGTCACCAAAGCTCCTTACTTGCCACAACAGTGGTTCAGAAAGGAGCCCATGCCTGGCAGGTTCTGAGACTTCCCACATAGGGGAATTATAACCACAGATTTCAATGTAAAGCCAGAAACCACAAAACTAGGGAAAAAAAAACATGAAAGAAAGGCAATGATTTGGGGGATATGATACTTAAATCACAAACAACAAAATTAAAAATAAACAAGTTGGACTACATCAAACTAGCAAACATCTACACAGCAAAAGAAATAATTGTGAATGAAAAGGCAGCTCTGGAATGGAAAAAAATATTTGCAGAGCGTATATCTGATAAGGTTTAATATGCAAAATATAAGCAAATAGTAGAAAAAGAAATAACCCAAGTAGAAAATATTGGCAAAGGACCTGAGTAAACAGTAGATGTGTTCATGTCATTAATCATTAGGGAAATGCAAATCAAAACCACAATAAGATACCTGTTAGAATGGCTATCACTGAAAACATAAGAGAATGATGTGAAGGCTGTGTAGAAAAGGCAACCCTTATGCACTGTTGGTGGGAATGCACATTGGTGCAGCTACTGTGAAAGACAGTATGGAGATTCCTCAAAAAATTAAAAATGGAACTAGGATATGATCCAGCATTCTAATTCTGGTTATATATCCAAAGGAAATGAAATCACCATGTCAAAAATATATCTGCACCCCTTTGTTCACTGTGGCATTACCACAGCCAAGATGTGGAAACAATTTGTGTCCATCAAGAGATGAATGGTTAAAGAAAATTGCGCACACACACACACACACACACTACACATACTACACATACACATACACATGCACGCAACCATAAGAAGGAAATCCTGCCATTTGCAACAACGTGGATAAACCGAAGAGCATTATGCTAAGTAAAATATGACAAGAGAAAACAAAACCAAATGATCTCATATGTGGGATTTAAAAACAAATGCTTTTGAATGAATTTTTTAAGAGAAAGATTAAATTTGTAGTTACTCGAGGCTGGGGTGAGCAAATTGAGTGAAGGTGTTCGAAAGGTATAAACTTTCACTTACATTATAAGGAAGTAGTGGGGATGAAACATACAGCATGGCGACACTATAGGTAACACTGCTGACTGTATTTGAAAGTTGTTAAGAGTAAATTCTAAAAGTTCTCATGACAAGGAAAAAACTTTTTTTCATGTATATCTATATGAGATGATGCATGTTAATTAAACTTATGGTAATTTTGCAGTATATGTAAGTTAAGTCATGCTGTACACCTTAAACTTACACAGTACTATATCTCAGTTATATCAATGAAACTAAAAGAAAGTAATAGTGTGAGAAATGTTGTATCTCAAAAGTAATCAAAGAAATTCACATCGGAGTAATGAGAAATCATTTTAATCTATTGGATTAACAAAATTAATAAAATCCATGGCTGTCATGACTGAAAAGAACAGCCACTCTTACAGAAGAGAAAACAGATTTTTTTTTAAAGATTTTATTTATTTATTTTTAGGGAGGGAAGGGGGAGAGAGAGAGAGAGAGAGAAACAAACATCAATGTGTGGTTGCTGGGGGTTATGGCCTGCAACCCAGGAATGTACCCTGGCTGGGAATCGAACCTGGGACACTGGTTCCCAGCCTGCGCTCAATCCACTGAGCTATGCCAGTCAGGGAGAAAACAGATTTTTAATGACATGGAATGATGTTCCAGATCCGTTGTGAAGTGGAAAAACAAGTTACAAAATACAGTATACTATATTTTGTTAGAAATACTATTTTTAGATTTGCAGTATTTTTATAGTCATTTTTTTCAGTATTTTCTAAATTTCTAAACTAAACATGGTTTCAAAGGAGTTGAGCTACATAAAGCTATAATGAAAATAAAAATGGGGCTTTAAGCCCTGACAGATGTCTCGGTTTGTTGGGCATCGTCCTGCAAAGCAAAAGGTCACTGGTTCAGTTCCTGGTCAGGGCACATTCCTGGGTTGCAGGCCTAGTCCCTGGTCCAGGCACATGCGAGAGGCAACCAATCAGTGGTTCTCTCATACATCAGTGTTCTCTCCTCCTTCTCCCTCCCTTACACTCTCTGAGTATCAGTAATTTTTAAAAAACTTTAAAAATTACACCTCACTGTTTCTCCAGCCATTCTTAGCCTCTGGATCATCACAGATGCTTTCTTTGGTATATTAAGCCTTTTTTGGATAAAGAAAACCATGTTGTATTTCCCCACTCAATTTGTGGAAGGCCAGAGAAAATAATTTACTCTGACAAATGGCATAATAGAATCAAGCATCTAAGGATGTTAGCCCAAATTCCCTGGTATTTTTCCTTGCATTGCATTTGGGGGGCATTTTCATGGTGGTGATTTTATAAAAGTGAGTCAAAGGACTTTGTGTGTTTCCTGCTTCCTCAGGGCTCCTGGAGTGATGTGGTTGGAAGGCGGTTTTCCTTGCTGGTGTGTATTCTCTTCAGTGGCTTGGGTTATCTTATTCTTGGAGCATCTACGAATATATTTGTATTTGCTCTCGCCAGAGTCCCTGTGGGTGAGTTCTTGCCTCTCTGTGTTTTCCTTCAAAATAAATCACTTATGTGTATGTCTATATGTATATGTACATGTACGAGGTCTGCCCAGAAAATGTCCGGTATTGTTAGTATAACAAGAATGGTTTGCATGACATCAATGTAACCTGGCAGCCAAGGAGAGTGGACTGAAATGTGCAAGTGTGAACAATGACAACTTCACTATACTAGTCAGTGATGTTGGTAGAGTCTATTGAGTGAACATGTGTACTGTGTGGCCATCACATTCAAAATGAGTGCATAGAGCAACAAAACTACCAAATTTTGTGTTAAGCTTGAACATTCCTCTGTGGAAACTATTATTTGGATGATTCAGAAGGCTTTTGGTGATGATGTAATGAGTGCAGTGCAAATAAAAATATTGCATAAACACTTCAAAGATGGTCAAGAATCTGTTGAAAGTTAACCACATTCTCTAAGGCCTGCAACAAGCAGAACACCTGAGAATATTGAATATATACAGGCTGCAGTCAGCAAAGATTGGCAACTGACACTGTAAGAACTAAAGGCTGATCTGAATAGTGAAAAAACTGCTGTATTTGAGATTCATTCTGCAGCTTCTGTTTGCTACTAGAACAGAAGGAACATTTTGCTTCAGTTGCTAATGACTTGATTCAACTCACTACCAACGAACAGATTTGGTGCCCTGCGACTTCAGGCTTTTCCCAAAACTAAAATCACCTTTGAAAGGGAAAGAGATTTGAAACTGTCAGCGAGAGTTAGGAAAATACAACAGGACAGCTGATAATGATTCCAACAAAGGATTTTGCAGAGTGTTGTGAGCAGTGGAAGAGATGCTGGGAGAACTGAAGTTCCAAGGTGCCTACGGTGAAGGGTACTAAGAAGTCATTGTCCTATGTACAGTGTTTCTTGTAGCTTGTATTTTCTTCAGTAAATGTCCTGCTATCCAATACCTCTTGATGAGAACTTAAGTAAAGAGGGCACAATGACAATACAAATTAGATCTGTAACTCCAGCAGCCACTGTGATTGAACATGAAGCATCAGTCAGGCTCTGCTGACCTGTCCAGAGCTTTAATCCTTGGACTTGGTAGAGCCTGGTGTCCTTGACATCTGTCAATGTGTGCAGCTTTGCTACTGTAGTAGGGTCTATCTACTTGCTTCTGGTCTCTCTCCACTCTTAGGAAGAATTTATTAAATGTCTTTGACCAGCACTGTGGTTACTGTATGGTCCTCAGTGAGCTTATAGTTTTGAAATTGGGCTTCCTGACTTCAAATTGATACTAAGCACTGTAGCTTTCCTATGGCCTTCTATAAAGCTGCTTGTGACTTTGTGGGGGACACTAGGATTATGATGTAGTGGCTTGTGTGTAAGTTTTGTCTCAGACTACTCTTGAGTGTTTCTGCCATTTTTGAAATAGCTTTCATTTTGTCCATTCATTAACATATGTTTCCATTCTTTGAAATGTTGCCTGTGAGTGCTGGGTGGTGAGGTTGGTAGGTGGTTACTAGGGAAGCTCTTACTCCCTCTTATCCTTTCTTAGTGTCAGAGACCTGAAGTTTGTTTCTTTCCTACTTTAATCATTAGAGCACTATCAGACTGTGCTACCCTGATAAACAAGTCTTTTGCGTTCACCCTTCAAAATTAATGCTTGTTGTTGTTTTTCACTTAATAAAATGGTTTATGACGACCTTTGCTTTAAATGTGGTTAATCATCCTAACAAGCCCCACTGCCACACACAAAACTCAACTGAGAACTATTTCATGTGCACCTGGTGACCAGATCACTTTACGTTCTTGGTTTGGGGGACAGGTTGTCCTTCTGCTGTATAATATACTCTGCAAATCAATGGTAAGGCTGTTCATAATTCAAAAGAAACAGATGAAAGATGAATAGAACCTATATTTGTTACAAAATGGGCCAAGATTTATGTGGAAAATTATAATGTTAATATAAAATAACCTGGTTTGAGTAGACATATGCAGAGCAGTGATTCCTTCAAGGAGATCACTGGAAACCACTGTGTCCCATCATGGATAGAAGCAATGACTCAAACCTGCCAGCATCATTTATTAGTAGGACCTACTGTGTCTAGATCAAAATAGTGGGCACCTATGTCACCAGAATTCACCAGTTTATTTGAATGTGTCTGTTTGATATGTATAAGTCAGATTCATCAGCAGAAGTAGTATGAGGAATATAAAGTTGTTACATACACTTTACATTAATCTTTTTCAATTTGTTTAGTCAGCAATTTCAGAAGCCTCTTACTAGTAGAAAATCAGTAGTATTGGTTAGATGACTACTATGTCATCATATTGACTATTTTTGTATTTGTAGTTCTGCTTGTCCTTCTTCCCTGCTCTGATTCTTTCCGTAGTAATTATCACCTTTTGTATAGATGCGCCAGCTCTGTGAAGGCAGGAATATATGTCTTTTTTTTTCCTCCCTGTTCTTTGCATTACCTGGGGTCAAAGTCCATGTTGGACCTGTAGTAGGCATGCAGAAAATGGGTATTCCCTGAGTTTATGAATAATGAATGATAAATTTCCATATAGAAACCACCATGAATTGGGCTTGGATAACAGAGAACTGGGGACACTGGAACGTCATGATGAGAAGGGGGAAGCTGAGGATTCAGGAGGTTGGTTACCAGAGACAAGGTGACCAATCAGGATGATAGGGCTAGACCAGGGGTCCAGTTGTGGTTCATGGAACCTGCTGGCCTTAAAGGTTCAAGGAAAATGGATTAGAACTCCATCAGTGAAGTACTGGATCACAAGCGAGCTTTTAATCTGGAAAATGTTACTGAATGTGTTTCTTGTCTCCTTGCAGGTATTTTTAAACATACACTCTCCATTTCAAGGGCTTTGCTTTCTGATCTGGTTCCAGAGAAGGAATGGCCATTAGTCATTGGACAGTTAAATGCAGCATCTAGTGTGGGCTTCATTTTGGGACCCATGGTCAGTGGCTATCTTATTGAACTAGATGGTGGGTTTTATCTCATATGCCTCATCTGTTTTTCTGTCTTCCTTCTCAATGCTGGTAAGTTGCCATTTAATCATAAGATTATTTCGTTTATTCATTCATATTGTCTAATCTGCTTTTATTTTCTTATAATTTGTTTTTCTTGGAATAGGTAGACTTTTATTCAAAAATGAAAGACCACACCAGCTGCTGCCGCAGCCCTCCTAGTGTGTGCGTGTCATGCTAAAGCACGTGCTTGTCTCACAGACTGCACAGTATTGAGCTTGCCCCTCCCCTGTCCCTGCTTTCCTCCATGTGCCTTGGACCACAGTGGCTTCCTGGTCCACCTTACACATGCCAGGCTTATTCTCACAGGAGGGCACTGCAGTTTGTTCCTTCTTCTACCTGTAGTGTTCCTCCCACATTTCTTTACAGACTCTTCATATCATTCAGGTCTCAAATATTTGCTTCCTTAAGAGCCCTTCTTTGATCATTCTGTCTAAAATAACTATATTTCTTCATAGTTCTTTTGAAACATTATTAATGTGTTTTTTCTCCTCTAGCATGCACAATTAAAAAGTAAACTTCAAAGGTTTCAGATTTTCTCACTGCTGTCATCCCTACCCAGAAGAGGCCAGGCATATATAGCCAATGTTCAATAGTATTTGGTAAATGAAAGAATACATATTGGAGCCTGACCAGGTAGCTCAGTTGTTTAGAACATCGTTCTGATACGCCAAGGTTGCGGGTTTGATTCCTGGTCAGGGTACATAAAAGAAGCAACCAGTGAATGCATAAATAAGTGGAACAACAAATTGATGTTTTTCTCTCAGTGTCTCTCTCTCTCTCTTTCTTTAAAAAAAAAATAAACAAAGAATACATACAGGACTGTGAGCTCCTTGAATGATAGGCCAGTTGCTTAAAGCAAAGAATATGAACTTCTTTGCCCAGAGACTTGAGCATGGCCAATCCTTATGTAAACAACGTTATTAACAGGAGGATTTATGTTGTTCAATTTTTCTAAATTCAATGATACTGTATTTGACTACAACTTTTTGAATCTTCATATCCAAGACTTCTAGCTGAGTAATGAATTCCATGTTCGGTTGGGATATCAGTCTCGAGAAGCAAAGTTCATTCTCAGAGGAATACTGTATGATTTTCTACCAGAAGTTTAATCTTAGCCAGGAGGAGAGATCTGATGGATCAGTGTAACTCTAGAGAAAATGGCTTTGCCCTGAGTGGTATGGCTCAGTGGGTTGGGCACTGTCCCACAGACCAAAGGGTAGCCAGTGTTTCCTGGTCAGGGGACATGCCTGAATTGCAGACCAGGTCCTCAGTTGGGGGCATGTGAGAGGCAACCAATGGATGTTTTCCTCACATATCAATGTTTCTGTCTCCCCTTCCCCTCTGTTTAAAAATAAATAAATAAAATATTAAAGAAAAAGAAAATGTTTTCAAGCCCATGACTGGTTAATGCAACCAGGTACCTTCCCATATAAAGCAAAGTATATAAATATGAAGTACATAGAAGTCAGTGTATAAACAAAGAACATGACTCTTGGGCTCTATTTTGGATTCTGCAGTGATGGTGCTGTTTAATATTTTGCCCTAACCTAAGTATATGAATGGGTCCAAGCTAGGAATACATTCAGCTGCAAATGTTCTCAATTCCAGTTGCTTAAAGTAATAGGGATTTTTTCCTGCTTAAGAGCTGTGGGTTTGACAGGCTGAGGCAAATGCAGATGCTGGCAGGGGAGGAGCAGAAGAGGGACCGGGGCTGGACAGCAGTGTCTCAGAGCACTGGGCCTTCCAGTGCATTGAGCATAGTGTAAGACTGTTTTCCTCATTCCATGTTGTCATTACTTTTCTCCTTGATAAGAACGGCTATTTTCCCCAACCTATCTACCCCTTCAGCTTCTTATGTCCTTGCTTTGATTTGCTACTTCTTCTGAAAAAGGGCTTTCATATCTTTTTACCAATGATTAGTTTTTTTCATGGTTAAGAACTCAAACACTAGTCTGACAGACTTGGCTTCAAATCCCTGCTCTGGCACTTCTCAGTGTGGGCTTTTGATGAGCTGTCTCAGTTTCCTCTACTGTAAAATGGACTAACAAAACTCATAGACTTGTTATGAGAACTATGAGAGGTTTTGCATATAAGCAGTTTATTCTACTGCTGTGCATATGATAACCACTCAATAAATGTTAGTTGCTGTCACAATTATTTTAATTATTAGTTTAATTATACTTTTCTTTTTGTGTATCAGTGACAGTTCTTTCACTTTTTTAGCAAGATTGTATGAAGTCTCCAAGATAAGAGCAAATGAAAAGTCTGGGTCTGCTTTCTCATGTGATTTGTTTTCTCTATCATAAAACAGCATGAAGCAGCACTGACTGGCCAGCCACAGGTTCAGGTGGAACTTCAGTCTTGGAGGACTGAAAAACCACACAGGGATGTGTTGGGAAAGATGTCCTAGGATGGCAAGCTATTATTTACTTTTAAGAAAGTTTGGGGCATGAATTGGCAAGAGGGCATTCTACTTGCTTGGATCGTGTGGGATCAATAAAACAGCTAAGGCAGGAACGTGCCAGCCACATGAGGGCAGAGGTGGAATTATCTGAGCAGGGGTATGAACTGCTGGGTCAAGTGTATGTCATGGTTTATGAGAATAGGTCTCAACAGGAAACCTATAAGAGTGCAGATCGAATCAGATGCTCCCTTGACATTAGTGTCAAACTACCCTTAGCTACCAACTGCCCCTCCTTACCCCCTTGCCCTTCATTCCAAGGATGTCTCTGTCTAAAGCATCCTATGCTTCCCCCAGCATAACACCTACCCAGGAATCTAATTGCCTGTTTGCATGTCCTTACCCCCTCTTATGTTTAAGTACCTTGGGTTCAGGAGTTGTATAGGCCTTGTCTAGTTTGTTAATATACTGTTTCTAATGTTTAGCACAGGATTCAGGATTTAGCTTAAATGTTCAATGTTTGGGTGGGTGATGAATATGGATGGGTAGGCAGGTAGTGGATAGTCAGATAATTAGCAAAGTAATGAGGGAAGAATTTAAATGTGAAGTCTAAGAATTTAGATGTGAAATAATGGGATATGGGAAACTCATAGGTTCTTGAGTTGGGGGCTGGGAATAGTGAATATTGTGTAGGTATAGGTTATTTTCTTAGGTGAATTGCAGAATGCTGATACTGAAATGGAGTAGAAGTAGCTATGGTAATGGTTAAAAACTGGATTCAAAAATAGGGATTAGCAAATCTGCTGATACAAAAGTACAGAATAATCTAATACTAGTTACTTCTTGTCTCCCATGGTAGTACTGTGTGAATTCGTTGAATTCAGCCTACTTTAACACATGGTGCCATTTTAACAGGTCTTGTTTGGCTGTTTCCATGGAGTGAAATAAAAATCAGTAGTACGAAGAATAGCCTGGGATTGGGTAAGAACTATGCATCTTTGGGAAAGACAGACCATGAAGTTCAGGAGGCAAGCCCTACCCCTGGGATCATGGTGAGTGAGAAGACGCCTAGGCCATTCTGGATGGAAGTCATGTCCACACTGCAGGACGTGAAGAGCCTGGTATTTTCTGAAATGTGGGACATATTTCTAGTACGTTTGCTGATGGCCATGGCAGCCCTGCTATACCACAGTAATTTTGTCTTGGCTCTCAAGGAGCGCTTCGGGGTGAGGCCCATGGTGGCAGGCTACCTCATCAGTTACAGCAGCACCCTGGGGGCCCTGGCTGGTTTGGTTCTGGGTCCAGTCCTGCGGCTGTATAGGCACAACTCCCACAGGGTTCTGCTGCACTCCAGTATGCTCACCTTCTTGCTCCTGTTGCTCTATTCCATGGCCCCCACCATGAGAACTGTCATTTTCTCCTCCACGCTCCTGGCTTTCTCCACGGCCATTGGCAGGACTTGTATTACAGACCTCCAACTAACTGTGGGTAGGGCCCATGCCAGGGGCACCCTCATAGGCTTGGGGCAATCAGTGACAGCAGTGGGCCGAGTCATGGCCCCCATCCTCTCTGGAGTTGCCCAGGAAGTCAGTCCTTGTGGCCCACCCAGTCTGGGGGCTGCATTAACCTTGGTAGCTGTTTTCATAATGTCACTAAACAAATCTCGCTATGGTGGTGATAGGACTGATAGATTAAAAAGTGAATAGAATGAATTTAGATGACACAAAGAAGCAAAATTGATGGTGGTGAATGAGGGGCAGAGGCCAAGTGAGAAGGGTGTTTTGGAAAGGGTGAGTGATCTAAGTGAAAAGGCATATTTCTACTCCAGTTCATCCAGGTCAGCCTCCAGCTCTGCATTCAGCCCTGTGGATGATCAGAAGTCAGAGCCTTGCCAAAGGGGAACATATTAAATATATACTTAAAAGTCTTTTCTTCCCATGTGGATCAGTGAGGATAAATCCAGGGGAAAAGAGCTACCAGCTACAGGATAAGAAAATAGTGATGGGATCGGAAAACCTGGCAAGGGCAAGAAGGGAAGAGATCCAAGTATTTTCCTTCTCAATAAAAATAAGGTAACATTAGTGCTGATCAGCTGGGATACAGGTTCCTTCTCAATTGTGTAAGTGAAGAGGGAGATTTTCTGCTATCAAAATGCTAGAGATTGAAGAAGCTGCTTTATTAAAGCTAGTTTGTCACTTCCTCAAGTCATAACAAGGTTATGAATGCTAGTTCCACCTGGGGACCTGGTTAAAAATCAGATGCCCAGCCTCACCCCAGAGACTGATTACATGGGCCTAGGTGAGGCCAGATATCTGTTGTATATGGTTAAGTACCACTTGCAGTTCCTCATGGAATTTGAAAAAGGATTTGATTAGAGTAAAACCCAGGGAGAGATTTGATTGTTTTATTGGTAGCTAACTCAGTTTGGACTGTCTGTTAAAATGTAATCACAGTGTGTTATACTTTCCCCAGCTACTAGCATTGTATCCCATAACATTTGTACAGAATATGAGTGTCAGGTGTCATACCTTACTGGAGGGACTTAACTCTAGAGTGTCTTGTGTTGAAAATAATTTCCTTTATTTTACTATCACACCTGTGCATAGAAGAGCTGTGTTTGTCTACAGAGACACATTTTGGTGTGCATTTTCCTAGGCCTAGACTGAACTGCCATTCCAAAATTACTGCCCAAGGGATAAGGGGCCCAGAATGAAGTTAGCACAGGCTCACACAAAGGCATTTGTAAAGCACATCCTGACTTATTGGGATGACATCAGTTATTAATAAAAATTACTTAAGAGCTCCCTCTGTTTTCCTTGTACAAATCACCAAAGTGCACATTCCTGTCAACCTTCTTAATTAGCCCAGTAAGATATTATTCCTACTTTCACCCTAATGCACATATAATTGTAAATAATATTTTAATACCCTGATTTTTTATAATTTGAGTACTTCCTGGGTGTTAAGCAGAAAAAATATTTCTGTAGTTTTAGAAATTGCATATGGGGTAAACTCAAGTACATATGATAACAAATTGATTGGAAATTTGAAGATTGTTGTTTATGAGAAAAATATAAACTTTTTATTGTGTTGTAATTCTGAACTTTTATATTGGGTTGGCCAAAAAGTTGGTTTGGTTTCTGTAAGATGGCTCTAGTAGCGCTTAGTTGTCTTTAACTTCACTTGAAATGATTTTGTTATATTATATTGTGACAGCTGTTGTAACAACATGCATTTAAAAAGAAAAACATCAAGATTGGTGATTTATTTGTGTGTTGCGGGCCGCCCTGCCTGGTCTCAGGAAGCTGTAACCCCCCATGACTTAGGCTGAGTGAAGGACCTCTGGACCAGGAGCCACTGAAGGAGACAAAACTTATTTCTTATGAACTGGCATGAACACTGCCTGTTCATATGCCTCATTCCTCATGCTTAAATGGCAGTCTATGATGGGTAACAATTCTCTTGAATAGAGAATGAACTTAAGACAGATGCATTCACGAAGGAATGACAGGGACAAGACTCACGGAGCTGTGGAAATAACGGGGTGATCGACATCCATCATCAATTTTGCCAATGCCTGAGTCTTTGCTCTTGGATGTGAGAATTCCAAGTCTCTTGACTGCCTTTATCTTCTCTGTTAACTCAGGATAGCAGGGGCAGCCCAGACCAGAAACGGCAGACCCCCAGGGTAGTCAGGCCTGGGACATAGAATATACAAGATCCTGTGAGATCTGTTTGCTGGAGGATGTTATTATCTTGGAATTTAAAAGCACAGGCAGGAAACTTTTGGAACCTGTACCTCTTTCATATGTTAAAGACCACAAACCTTGCCCAGAATTTCAGCAGGAGTGCTGTCCCCACCTTTGTAAGTTGTTTACATCTTTTGATATTTTCTGCCAGACTGTGAATCCACAAACTAAGTCTGTTTTCTCAATAAAAATCTGCTTGGGTATGGACACGAGGCACTCCCCAGGTGAGGAGTGGCCCTTCTGTTCCTGTTCCCCCACAGGACCTGGTTGTCTTTGTGTATGTTTTTAGCATGTTTCAATGAACATCCGCAGCTGAGATATACACTGCTGGCTGGTATCCTCCACATTTGTGTAGCCATTTTAAAATAGAAAATGGAAGAAAATAGCCCTGGCTGGTGTGGCTCAGTGGATTGAGTATCGACCTGCAAACCAAAAGGTCACCCATTCAGTTCCTAGTCAGGGCACAGGCCTGGGTTCTGTTCCAGGTCCCCAGTAGGGGGCGCATGAGAGGCAACCACACATTGATGTTTCTCTCCTCGTTCTTCCTCCTTCCCCTCTGTCTAAAAACAAATAAGTAAAATCTTAAATAAAAAGAAAATAAGCAACATTTTCAGCATATTATGCTTTATTATTTCAAGAAAGGTAAAAACAACAAATGTGAAAAAAGATTTGTGAGGTGTATGGTGAAGGTGCTATGACTAATTGGACATGTCAAAAGTGTTTTGCAAAGTTTTGTGCTGGAGATTTCTCGCTGGGTGATGCTCCACTGTCAGGTAAACCAGTTGAAGTTGATAGGGATAAAATTGAGACAATAACTGAGAACAATCACTGTTATACCATGCAGGGAAATAGCCAACATACTCAAAATACGCAAATCAATAAAGTTATTGGTGAAAATGAAAAATGTCTTTTATGGAAAAAACTAAACAGACTTTTTGCCCAACCCAGGTGCTTAGTGCCTTTGAGGGGACTGAAGTATGATGTAAAATGACATTGCCCTTTAGTAGTATAGTAACATGCCATGGAAGTTAGACTCAAAGGCCAGTAAACCAAGGTTTTTTGTAATAGAGTTTCAAAAGAGTTTTTCTAAAAATTATCTTTTCTTCACTCTTAGAAATGGACAAATTCCTTAGAAGCTATTAAATATGGCCTAGATAAATCATAGCAGTTTATTTCTGAAGTTAAATAAAAGCCTATAAACTTAATGAGGGTTTACAATTAAGCAAAGATTGATCTTCGTCTATAGCATAGAGAAATGTTTTTGTTTATTCTCCACTGGTAGTTTCAGTGTTTTGTTCAGGTGATTTTTTTTTTAGATAAATACTTTGTCACAGCTCCTCTTACTAGTCTGATGTACTACTGCTATTCATGGTGTGTTCTGGGGACCAGCAGGGTCAGGGTTCCCTGGAGCAGATACCCCACTTCAGACCTGCTAGGGACCATTTCACAAGACACCCAGCTACTTTGTATATACAGTAAAGTTTGAAAACCACTATTGTAAAGGATAATGTTTGTACAATCTATGGAATATGACCTCAGGGATATTAAATCTGCTCAATTAAAATCTGTGTTGACTTTTAAATTGTTTTGAGTATCTTGTGTAATTCTTTCCAAAGTATTAGGTTGAGCCCCATGAAATTATTATTTTTATAAGTCAAAAATATCTGCAATTTCATGTGATTCAACTTAATTCTTCTATGTAATCTTACTTTAGAGGCATTGAACTTACTTGAAAAGTTTATATAGGAAGTGGCACTCTTTCAACATTATGCCAACCACAATTGGTAAGTACTGTGAAACAGTCTCAGAGCATGGGGTTCTAGAATGCTTGGCCTTTTCCACAGAGGGGAGGGAGGTATATCTCTGCCCTCATGTCCAGAGATATGAGCGATATGCAGAAAGGTAACAGGCAATGCCTGTCCATAAGAGTAATGTGCAGGGCTCCACATCTCAGGCCCAATGGCCTGGAGCAGGGAAGTCTGGAGTTATGCCTGAAGCAAACATCAGGGGCTAGAACCAATGGTTCTCTACCTTGGGTGCTCAGATCCTGTCTTGGACCTGTGGAACCAGGCTCCTGAAGTGCCTGGTGTTTTTAATGCATACAAGAGTGGAGAATCACAGGGTTAGACCTGAAGGGGCTCATCCTCTGGGCCAGTGGTGAACTTTTCTGGCAGGTGAGGGAGAGCTACTGGTCCTTTATGTTTTAGTAGGATCCTCTGGCTACAGCAAGAAATATTAATGGGAGGCCAAGAAGGGAGCCGTCTAGACTTTGGAGCAGTAATTCAGAGGACCATGAAGGAGAAGTGGTCCTGGGCACTGAAAGAAGGAAGTAGGTAGGGAGGCAAAACCCAGAAGTTCTGGTGACTCTTAGGGTGTGGCTGCAGAAAGATTTTTGGAGGGCCCTTAAGTGACACTTGGGCCTGGTCTAGGCAAAGCTGAGGCAAGGTTAGAAAGACCTTCAATGAGAGTGGAGCACATTCTGCCCTATCCTATGTTAACTGGCAGAGAACATACATGGACATTGATGAGAATTCTCTAGAATATTCAGAACATCAAGAAGCCGCCTTTTCCTGAGGTTGCTTCTGTAAGATATTTAGAAATCTGTTGGGAGTGGGAGACATTTCAAGCTAGGGGAAATTTCAAGCATTTGGTCAACGGCTTATAGGAGAATAGCTTTTTATTTGGAATACACAGTAAAAGCCAGCACGGTGATCTCCCCAGAAGCTAACTTTGGCCTTTAAGAAGTCTTGAAATAGGTTACCACAGACCCAACCAGGATAGAGAGAGTGTGTGTGTGTGTGTGTGTGTGTGTGTGTGTGTGTGTGTGAGAGAGAGAGATACACACACACACACACAATGCAGCTGTTCTTGGAACTATGGAACTGGGCTCTAAAATACCTAGTGTTTATAATGTACACCCAGAGTTCAGAATCATGGGGTTAGACCTACAAAACTTTTTTGGTTCTAATTTTTTTTCCTGAAAAGCTTGCATTACATGACAATCATTTTCTTTAATAATAAAATCCCTTTAAATTGTAATGAAGTGTTGTTTATTTTGACTATTAATTCTTAAAAGCCACTGTTTGCATCCTGATGTATATTTTAAAGCAGGGTACTAAAGTGCTTGAAAGTTCAAATCTCTAGTATGCAAAAACACATCTTAATAAAAAACAACAAGCCTTTGTCTTTTCTAACCGTATACGAATACATACAGAATCTGAAATTTATTCTACACTGATGGCAAGGAAATAGTTTCAAGATAACGTGTTATTACACACTATGGTTTATTTCTAATTAATCAGATACACAAATACTACCTTATTTTAAAACATTTTACTTGAGATGTCTTATTTTCCCATATTGTCTAAACTTACCATTTTATAGATAGCTGTCTGTGAAAACAGTAACAAAATATCTGCTGTTTCCTAATTCACTACTACGTTGTAAGAAACAGTGCCAATTGTTATTTTGAAAATGGATATTCTCAAACAGCTTGTGTTGTTCCTGGAGGGAAAAGATCATTATAAACACTATGGACGCAGAGTTAATTACTAATAACTTAAATGGCATAAAAATGGACTGTAAGCATTTTGTTTGAACAAAGCACTGTATTTTGATCACTGTGGGTTTAAAATATACTACATATTGGTTAAAAAAATTCATTTTCCAAACTATACACTCTGGAGGACAAAACAGTAGTTAAAATACCTATTAATAGTTACAATTTATCATGTGAGATAAGAGATGATCTTTCTTCAGGCTTACTGAAGAATTGATTTCATTTTGAATAGCTAGGACTCAGGTTTTTATCCAGACTAAAAATTACTTTTTCTTGTGATAGCTCACCTACCAGAACTCTATCCTGAGTTTGCTGAATGAAATTGAAACCACATGAACTATCCAGAATGAACCTAATGGGATAAATGTGTTCTGCAGCACGTGTGATAGGTGTTTGTTCTGTGCTTGCCTTTGTGCCATGTAGGTTGAAGCACAGGCCAGGGCTCTGTGAATTCCAGTGTCTGACAGTGCCAGGTGATGAGGTTACTGACCACGGTGAGCATTTTCTTCTGGTCACTTTCATAGCACCTTTACCAAGCCACTTCAAGCTAAAGGTAAGGACTTAAACCAGAAGCCTGAGAGGAAGAAGTAAACCTCTGTGACATACTGAAAGGTCCTGAAGTAGGTTCTGAATGTTCAAAACAATATGCTCTTTATATTGAAAATTTGTTTACAGTGCGTGTGTTAACTCAATACAGAAAAAATCATTCCCTGACCATACAGGTAAGAGAACTGACCCACATTTTATTCATGATTCTTAAAAGTAATAAAATAGAATTTTATTTTCAAAATACTGAAAATATTAGAAAACAAAACAAAAGGGATCAGAAAATCATGTGCCAGTGCAACATA